CAGAACAAATAGTTTCTCATTAAACAGTTAGTACACATATTGCCCTACGACAATGGTTAACCCCATGACATGTCAACACTGTCCCTTCTCAACCTTGGATTCCCTGTCACCAGCTTTCCTGTCCCTTCCTGCCTTCTAGTCCTTGTCCCTGGACTGCTGTGCCTCATTAGTCCCGTTTTGTTTTATAAGGCTGTCTAACCCCCAGCTGAATGATGAACTTCAGGAGTTAATTCACCACTGAGCTGAAAGGGTGTCCAGTGCCATACTCTCAGGGTTTCTCCAGTCTGTCAGGCCAGTAAATCTGGTCTTTTTTTGTGAGTTAGAATTTTGTTCTACATCCTTTTCCAGGTCTGTCCAGGACCCTCTATTGTGATCCTGGTCACAGTAGTCCATGGTGGTAGCCGAGAATCATTAAGCTGTACTGGACTCAGTCTGGTGGAGGCCAAGGTAGCTGTGGCCCATTAGTCCTTTGGCCTCATCATTTCCTTGTATCTTGTTCTCTTCATTCTCCCTTGCTCCCAAAGAGGTGAGACCAGTGGAGTATCTTAGATGGCTGCTCACAGGCTTTTAAGACCCCAGACGCTACTCACCAAGGTAGAATGTAGAACATTGTCTTTATAAACCATGTTATGCCAACTGAGCTCGATGTTCCCCGACACCATGGTCCCCACAGCCCTCTGCCCAGCAATTCAGTCCCTCAGGGAGTTTGGATGTGTCTGTGGAGCTTCCGTGACCTTTCCTTGTACAAGTTGTGCTGGCTTCCCCGGTATTGTGTACTGTCTTACGCTTCACCCCAGTCTGTGCATTTCTGTTGCTGAATATGAATTCATATTTCTGAGCTTCATGGTATAGCTATTTTGTTTTATGGAAGTTAATGTGAAAATAAGAGGTCGTCTGTAAGCTTTATTACCGTTATCTATGGTAGCTCCATAAACACTAACATTTTCAAAAATTTCCCCCAAGGCAGAGTTATATTAGTATCAATGTAATTTGATTTTACTTTCTGGGATGAAATCAATCGTTTGATTTTCAGATGTGAAATCTAAATATTTGGCGTGAATCCCAAAAACCAAAATGTATAATATTATTTAAAATGTATGCAGATGTGCCGTAACCAACTAAAATGCTTTTTATACCAACTTAACATTTGCTGTTCAGTCATATGATTGAACACATTAGTCTATTAATAGCTATTTTTTAGTGCAGATAATTTAATTTTTAGTTTGAGAGAGAGCATGGAACACTAACTGCAAATAGATGCATTTAGGTGTTTTGTAGAGCATAGGGCCCTTAAATACCGGCCAGTTGGATTTACTATGTTTCCGCCAAGGTATCCCCACAGAAAACAAGAGTCTCTCTCTTAAGTAGTGGCTCCACAGCTCAGGGCAAGGCTGTGAAAATGAAAACAACAAAATTCTCTTCTTGTCAACATTACCCAAATTTTCATGGGCAGAGTTCTCAGTAGTAAACCCAAACAAAATACAGGCACATTCAAAGGAGGCCCCCTATCAGATGGGACTGAGAGTCTGTAAGAAAACCATGAAGCGTATGTTCCCAAGGCCTTCAGGACCCCTCTGGCTGCCCTCCATTGACAGGGTGATTGTAGTTGAAAAGGTTGAAGAACTTTCAAGCTCTGGAGTTTCTCTCAGAATCCCAGGCGGACCTTTCAATTGGTTTCGAAAGCCTAAATTTCTCTCTCCAGTCTTCCTAAGTAGCCAGCTGTTTTCTCTGTAAAGTGTAATTTAAAAGCTGTCCAAATAAGGCCAAGCAAGATGACCGGGATTGTAGCCAGATGTGCTTATGTCCTGAGATGCTAGGTTATAGGGGCAGCCTTTAAACAGGGACAAATTTCCTAACATAAAAAAATGGAAAACAGCCCTGGGATCAGCGGACACTTATTTCTGTATTTAAGACTCCTGTATGCCTGAATGAATTAGTTATGGATATATTCAAGCAATAACCTGTTATCTAGAATATATGGCGTCTTAGTTATCTGTTGCTGCTATAACAGAAATACCACAAGTGGATGGCTTTAACAAACAGAAATTTATTTTCTCACAGTTTAAGAGGCTAGAAGTCCAAATTCAGGGTGTCGGTCCTAGGGGAAGGCTTTCTCTCTCTGTTGGTTCTGAAGGAAGGTCCTTGTCTCTTCTGAGCTTCTGCTCCTGGGCGATCTTCATGTGGCCTGGCATCTCTCTTCCCCCATCTCTGCTCTGCTTGTTTAATCTCTTTTATATCTCAAAAAAGATTGACTCAGAATAAACCCTGCACTAATCCTGCCTCATTAACATAACAAAGACAGCCCATTCCCCAATGGGATTATAACCACAGACAGAGAGGTTAGGATTGACAACACATGTTTATGGGGGACATAATTCAATCCATAACACATGATAGCAAGGAAAGTTGGGCTTAAAAGTCTTGGAGTGGCGTAAATAGTTGAGCATTCGACTCCCAACGGAAATGTTGGGCGTTCTAACCCACCCAAAGGCTCCTCAGGGGAAAGGCCTGGAGATCTGCTTCTGAGAGGTCACAGCTTTGAGAACCCTATGGTGTAGTTCCACTCTGCAACACATGGGGTCGCTATGAGTCAGAATTGCCTCCACGGTATCTGGTTTGCTTTTTTTTTAATGCCTGAATGAATTAGTTATGAACGTATTCAAGCAATATCCTATTATCTGGAACACAGGGTAACAAGGAAAATTAGGTTTCAAAAACTAATATACCTCTTCAGAAAATATATTATCTCACTCTCCTCTAACCAAATTTAAAAAAAGAAAAAATCCTGGGCTTGTTTAATATAACTTTTTCTATATCAGAGAAAGCAAGCATACAATAGTTCTGAAATAATTCTGAAATGTGCTGTATCATGACAAATGAAATTAGTATCCTTTCACAGGTTCTGAACGTAAAAATATATATATATTATTTATAGCCTATTTCTTATTCTGCTAGGCACAAAGGTTGCCAAGACAGTTTTGCCCTGGGGAAGTTACAATAAAAACAATCTGTTATTATATTACCCTTAGAAGTAATTATAATAAAAATATTCCCTTAAATTCCTTTTACTCACGTATCTATGATAAAATGCTAACTGAAGACTAGAGTTACAGCTAAGTTATTTTGTAAAACATAAAAATGTTGACAGTTGGAACTACCAAACCCTACGTATAGTTAGCTGTGAGAAGGCAATTGTTTGGTATTCTGCACATTGGTAGAGAAAGATCAGAGAGTAAGGGTTTGTGAGTCTATGAACTCATAATGAATGTCTATAACCTTTCAAATATCTTTAATTTTTTACAATTGTATATGCTTATCAAAGAGCATTTAAAAACAGAGAGAAAAAAAATACCTAACCCTCATTATTTAAAAAAGAAATACTATTCACATTTTACCATTTCTCCTTTCCATATTTATGTGACACGGGTTTTAACGTTAAAATAGTATTTGTCTGTTTTTATCAGAATGGTCTGCACCTTCAGCCATTGGGATAGCTGGTCTTGGTGGAGGATTTGAAATAGGAATTGAGGTAAGTGGTTTATGCTTATGAATACAATCGTAATTTCTCTGTAAGTACCTGAAACTCAGTGCATGAAATATGAGAGATTTCTTATTTTATCACTGACATCTGTGAAGATTTCTCCATTCTGTTTTCTTGATGCATCTAAATTATCTAATGGTTCCCATTTTTCTTTCTTTTTCTTTCATTGAGGGTAAGATTTCTTTCATTCACTGTTTTATCTGTTTCCATCTTGAGCACATCTATCTAACAGATATCTCTCAATGACTGGGAAATTAAAATTACAAATTTATGACTTAAACTGATTGGAAGGTTGATTATCTCCTTCAGCAGGTCGTTTAACAAGCCAGAGCTCAGATAGTAGAGTTTAACTAGTTTAACACAATGCATCATAATTTGTGGTAAAAATCAGCCTTGTAACATCTGATATTCAGACTACTTCAAATTCTTTAGGTAAAGATTAACTCCATACTATTTCCTTCAGTAACTTTGTTCCTGATTATTGTGCCTTAAATGAACTAGAAATTATACACCAGGATATACTTGTTTACAAAGATCTGTTACACAGGGATCATCTCATGCATGATATTAATCTTTCATCTGTTGCTGTATTGCTAAGTGATTGGCAAATCAAATCTCCTAATAATCTCAAATCATTTTCTTCTCAAATTTCAGTCAATTTCTTCCTACGCTTTCCTTTTATGAATTTGCCCTGTTGCCATAGTTTTAAATTCCCTCAGCCTTACTAGGAGGAAGTATTTCTGCTAACTCTTCTTTCATCTTTATTTGACCTTCTTTACTCACTGCTACATAAGTCTCTAGTATAAAAAGTAAAAGGTATTTTAGTTTTGCCTGTCATGACTGCATTTTTGTTTTATATTCAACCAAATCAAAGCCTTCAAAAATATCGCCCCCTTGTGGAAAGCATATTTTCAGATGTGACAATCAGCTTCCATAAAGATTAGTCTTGGAAATCCTATGGGGCAGTCCTATACCATCCTGTAGAGTCACTATGAGTCAGAATTGACTCAGTGGTAACAGGGTTTTTTTTTTATAATCTCCAAGGAGCCTTGGTGGCGCAGTGGTTAAGCACTCAGCTACAAACCGAAAGATCAGTGGTTCAAACCCACCAGTCCCTCCACGGAAGAAAGATGTAGCAGTCTGCTTCCATAAAGATCACAGCCTTGGAAACCCTATAGGGCAGTTCTACTCTGTCCTATATGGTCACTATGAGTCAGAATCGACGACGGCAATGGGTTTAATGTTTCATTTTATTGTAGTCTCCCTTTCCCTCCCTTCTCTACACCTACCTTCTTGTAGATTGTGGCCCCCCTAAAAACCAAACCCACCCATTTTAGTGACTTGGCTGGACTATTTCAGTGAATTCTATTCCTCTTCTCATCCTCCTGCCCCTAATGTACAGCCTCAGATGTCAGTCTTCAGAGCAGCACATCATCACCCCGAATGACAGTAGTTTTATCAGGGTTATCTTTGTCTCCTTCCCTGACCTCCCTCTTGAACCGTTTGAATCTGTTGGTATACACTCCGTTGTTAGCCTTCACTAATTGTCTGCTCTGTGTTTTGATAATGCCCTTGGAAGCCAATTGCTTCACAGTCCAATCAAATTAAATTATGCCCCTTTGTAGGGGTACTCCCTGAAGGTCATCTCTGAGGCTTCTTCCAGTCTCAGGAGGTCCCTTCTTTTTTTTGTTTATTGTTGTAGTTCAAGTGAAAGTTTACATTTCAAGTTAGTCTTTTATATAAAAATGTATACGTACATTGTTATATGACCCTAATTGCTCTCCCTATACTAAGACAGCACACTCTTCCTTTCCACCCTGGATTTCCCGTATCCATTCAACCAGCTCCTGACCCTCTCTGCCTTCTCATCTCACCTCCAGACAGAAGCTGCCCATTTAGTCTCATGTATCTTCTTGAGCTAAGAAGCACACTCTTCACGAGTATCATTTTATGTCCCACAGTCCAGTCCAAAGGAGGCCTCTTCTTAACTGTCTCTTTCCCTAGTTCTCTCTGTTAACCTTCTAGCTGGTCTGTGGTTTAGCTCCTTGCTCTCATGGAGCTACCAGCTTCCTCATAATTGTGTACCACCAAAATTGTCATTGTTTTTGCCAGTATGTTATGCTTGAACTTACCTGCTTTGTTCCAGATCAAGTCAGTTCCCTTGGGGACAGCTTTGGAGCTCTCTGTTCTTAGAGCCTGCCTCTTGCCCTGGGCACAGGCTCTGCACCTCTGCTCTGGAGCTCCAGGCTGGGACAGTGGCTCAGTTCTCTTGAATCTTTGGTCATTTTCACATGCCTCTCCCAGGGTGGAACTTTTGCTCACAAATGAGCTGGGGCAAAGGTGATTAGGGTCTCAATATTCTTGGATTGTTGGGCCTGGTACAGAGTTTCCACCCTATGAGTGGGGGCTCAGTGGAGGAAGGACTCCCCAGACCCCTCAGCTGCTCATGCTTGTAATACAGCCTCTGCAACATAGTGCTGTCGGGAAGGGGTGAAAAATGCTGGCAGCCTACCACTCCCGGGGAGATAATGTCGTCCCTGGCTGGGAGCTGTGGGAAGAGGAAACCCTGTGTCCTTGGTAAGCCCCCCTCTCTCTCAGAGAGGAATGTCCATTAGGCTTACCTGGGAGAGAGAAGAGGGGGCTGACCGTGACTGAAACGCCACAGACTCTGGGAGATTTAGTAGATTTTACCCAAGAGATGTTTCTTCATTTGCTCTTTACCTGTAGGACAATTTCCAGATATGTTAAATGGTTTTTAAAACTTTTAAAAATAATTTTCTTCAGTTATGATTATTTCATGGGGGACAGAATCCACAGAGCTCCTGATACCACCATTGTGAAAGTCCTTCTTTCACTAAGTTTGCTTTAAAATACTTTTTAACAGTTCTAGGACCCTTTTTAACCCTTAGATGGCATTTTTGATTTGCAGCCACATGATATAGTGGGCAGAAACACAATTTTAAATTTTAAGGTTTAGCGCTTTTTTTTTTTTTTCAAATTAGTCATAGAACATTGAGCAAACTATTTAACCTTCTCGAATCAAGTCTGTAAAATAAGAAACTTGGACAAGATGATTTCTAAGTACTCCCTTGTTCTGATATTCATCACTGGCAACAAAGGGTGCCTGTTCTGGACTGAAGTTTATGATGTATTGTCTTGTGCTTGGAGCAGTCTTTTTGCTTTCCTTCAAGCATTTCTCTTCGATGTTTTTTCTAGGGTCCTCATCTGAACTACAGAACACAGAAAATTATTTGAGTGCTATTCTCAGTTATTGTCACTATTATTCTAGATGTTTAGGGGAAAAGTTAATTCATTCCTTGCAATGAGTGCTTTAGAGCATTAGGACTTAATTCTCTCAGGGACTCCTGGTAGAGAAAGGCTGCAATTTAAGTTTGTGTCTTTAATGTCCTGTACTTTATGTCAGTTCATTGTATAAAGGATGCTGCTTAACAGCAGCTGGAATCTCAGGATGCTACTGGGTAGCTTATTGCATTGTGTGGTGGTTTCACTTAAGAGTAACTGTCAGATTTCAAGAAGCTTCAGACTCATCGTTCTGGGGTCTAAGTGCAAATGATCCACACGAAGCCTTAGGTCAACATGGGAATGTTTTATGTTTATTAATCTTAATCTTTAGACTCACAGATTCTATAGGGTAGGTATCATATCTATAACTGCCTAGTCCCTGGATCATCATAGTACTAAATAATTATCTAGATCAGTGAATGAATTTATGCATCCAGATAAGGATAGCCTTGGGAGAGGGAGTAAGCTATCATGGAAGGAAGAGAGATATTGGAAAGAAAGAGAGTTCTGATTGTCAGAAGAGATTTGGAAGTCACTGGTTTAAGAAAAGATGATGCTAAAAGCAGCCTTGATTTAAACACTGTTAAAAGTTTCTTTTCGAGGCAACAACTGTAGCAGAGTCGTGATGCCTGGCTTGTCTTTGGATTTATCCTTCATTGTTTGCTGTATACCAGAAGCTAGAGTCAACCCTGAGGCCATCAAGTCTAATCAACCTTGCTTTCATCCAAAATTATCATTTGAGAAAAATGATGCAGCTTTTTCCAGAGAGAATTTAGATGAGCTCTTTTACTTTAATGAAGAGAAAATTATCTAGGCTTAAGATGAGGAGAAATTATTGTTAGAGATCAGAGTCTAAAGTTTAAGTCCTGTAAGATCTAAGATTGACGTCTAAGAGGAGAATCTGTTGGCATGTGGAATATGAGGTGTGTGTTTACGCACAGACACAAGATGGACTACCCCTCGTTCCCCAATTTGATTTGCATGTTGAGACTAGTGATGTCTCTCACGCGTACACACACACACACACATACACGTACACATATACCAGCGGGGTATGAAAATGTTTATTACCCACAAAATGAGGCTTCCTAGGGAGATCAAGGTAGATTCCCAAGCACATCCAAGGATGGCTTGAGAGAAGAGGAAGAGAGACTGGCTCAGGTTTTATGGTGGTTGGAAGTTGTTTTTGGGGTGAGAGTACGCACCGATGTCAAAGGAGGGAGCACCCAGGCTTTCTTCAAAGGTTACCTATGTGTGGGGCAGAAGAAGAAGGCAGAGCTGTGGCATTTAGAAGTTATCAAAAGTCAAACATAAAACATGGAGTCAGACTCTTCATTGCAGGATACAATTAGGTGACAGCGCAAAGGACTCTGTTGCTTGGGATTATTAAAATTGGTAGAACACCTGTTATACTGGGAGGTAGGGAATGGCACCATATCAACAGATAGAGCTTCAGGAGATGAAGTTACAGGAAAGAGAAAGTCAGTGATTCTTAAGTATGTTTATTCCCCAGCTTTTCCTGCATGAAAACATTTTCTTTTTCTTCTTCTTTTTTTTTAACTCTTATCTTTAAGAATGGAATTTAATTAAAAGATTTGGATCTAGTCAAGTCCTAATGCAAACTTTTTAAGAAGCCTTTATCAAATTCTCAAATGGTTGTCTCAGACTGTTCAAATGTATTGCTCTATTGCTCCAGTTTTCTTGCAGAAAATGTTTTGTTTTTCATTCAAAGCTGTGGAAAAACAAAAAACAAAAAACCCTAGTGCTGTGGCTATCGTACTGCTCTTCAAACCTCCGTGTAGCTTTTGACCTGGTTCTTGATCTGATTAGTGGTATCACCAAAGAACACAGGATTATCTTACTCTTATTTCAGAAGAACTGAATAGAGATCAGGCAGAAAATTAAAAGATTGATTTTTTTTTTCTTTAATTGCTTCTTCAAGCTTTGCCTTACTTAACTGTACTAAGATGTACTGAACAAGAGGAGAACATAATAACTAGAATAGCTTCAAGGTCATGGCTAGAAATTTATAGGTACTGAGTGTGTATGTACCAAGCATCATGCAAGGCAATTTTCCGTATGTTACATAAAAAATGCATATGGGATACATGTTATAAATCATTGGAAAAATTGACTGCATTAAAGAATGATAAACAATTCTGTGTGCCATTAAACACCATGATCTTCATAAATAGAAATAAAAGTAGACAGGAGTCAAGGTGAAGTATTTTGCATGGGCAACTAACTGGTTTATTTATTTTGTCCTGTGGATCTTGCGTGCCTCCCCCTCCCACCATCACCATCATAAAATGATTCAAATTGAACCCTTATTAAAAATCTACTTGTATCAAGAACTCTGTTAGATCCCTCCAAGTGTAATCTCATTTGGTAATAATAGAATCCTTCCATGGGTCAGATGAAAGAGAAAAATTTAAAGAACTATATAAATTAACCCAAAACCCATTGCCACTGAGTCAATTCTGACTCATAGCGACCCTATAGGACAGTATAGTGCCCCATAGTGTTTCCAAGAAGTGGCAGGTGGATTCAAACTGTTGACCTTTTGGCTAGCAGCTGTAGCTCTTAACCACTGAGCCACCAGGGCACCATATAAATTAAAGTGCTATTTAAAACATTTTTAGATCTTTAGTATCAGTCTGCTTGGCCTTTGCATATTTTATTGAGATGTGGAAAATATGATGGTAGATACTATATTACTATGTAATCTTAACCATAGCAAAAACTTATTGGGGGCTTATTATATGCCAGACTTTGCAAATGATTTCAATTCATCCTAAAACAACCTTATAAATTGTGGTTGCTATTATTATACCTAATTTACAAAGGAGGAAACCGACACATAGACTGGTTCAGTTATTTCTCCAACACAAGCGAGTGGCAGAATTGGAATCCACACCCAGATAATATCAATTTTGAGCCCAAATTCTTAGCACCGTGTTCTTTTACCTTCTATTTTCTAGATACACTTGACACATATAGCTGATGCTCATAATAGTTCGACAGGGTAGATCCTGTTATGCAGATTTTTAAATATAAAAAGATGAGAGAGCCAAAGGCTAGATAAAATATCCACGGTCACACAGCTGTTGAGAAGTGGAGCTGGGATTGAAGCTGAGGCCTCTGGGACCTCAAGGCCCTTTGTCTCACCCATGCTGCCGTCCTAGTTTTGATGGATTAAGCTATTTTTTCAGTTCTAAGTTGGACTTTACCATTGAGGTAGTGAATTGGAGGAGCAAATGCTTTCTCCATGTTGACAGTCCTTGAGGATTCTGTTGAATCTCATTCTGGTTTTTGTTTTCTTGAGAAGTAGGTCTCAAGTAATGACAACTGATTTTCTTCTTGATATTTTGAACTTCTCAAAGCTGGAATAGTGTTACAGTGTGTAATTTACTAGTAGTAGGCACATGGCTTTGCCAATGACACATATGTGTGCAAAGTATCATTAGGATCCTCAGACCCTAACGATACTTGACCTTATGAGCTTATTCCTAGTCCTCTGTTCTCTGGACTCAGCTTTCTTGAATTGTTTAGTTTGAAGAGATCAAGGAGCATTTTTGATCCTTCTCGTTTATCTATGTTTTTAGTAATCATCAGTGACAGTTTTCCTACCTCTCTAAACCTCAGAATCACAAAACTATTGAGAAGATTAAAGGAGAAAACGCATGTAAAAATGACCATGTGGTACATAGTAAATGCTCAGAAGTTGTTTGTTATAACTACCTGCTGTAGTATTAATTACTTACATCCTCAGGTCAAAGTAAACATATGGCTCTTTTTTCATATTCTTTTTCTGTTTACATTGAAATTCTTGTGGCACTGGGTTATATATTATATATAGTATATTTGAATTTTAATAAACCTATGTTAAGTGATGTTTATATATAATTATCTTTAAATAAATGTGTTTTTACATTTTAGGTGTCAGATTTGGTAATAATTTTGAATTATGACAGAGCAGTAGAAGCTTTTGCAAAAGGTGGTAACTTAACACTTGGAGGGAATTTCACTGTGGCAGTTGGGCCCTTGGGAAGGTGAGTATCATAAGACACTTTTTGAACATCTGTTGGTGTTAAGAAAACCCTGGTAGTGTAGTGGTGAAGAGCTATGACTGCTAACCAAAAAGTTGGCAGTTGGAATCCACCAGGGACTCCTTGGAAACCCTATGGGGCAGTTCTACTCTGTCATATAGGGTCGCTATGAGTCAGAATCGACTCGACGGCAATGGGTTTTGGGATTGGTGTTCAAAATAGTATAATAAACGTTTAAGCACTATATATTTTCTTCCCTGAGGAAACTTGAATTAAATGAAATGAAACAAATATATGGTTTATATTCTTGCCTACTCCCAGATATTTGAGGTCATTTACAAATAAGAAACAAAAAGCATACAAAAAGTATAATAGAATTAGCAAATTTGAAACTAGGACATACAAAAAGAAACAAAATATTTCAGAAACACAGGCCACTGTACCTGCTGGAATTTAACATACAATCTGCTTTCAAGCATTGAGGGAGCCAAGGCAAGTCAATTTTTGTTAACTGATAAAATGCGGTGTTGATCAGGAAAGAAAAAGGTTTTTCTCCAACTAAATTATGAGAAACTAAAATGGAAGTGTTTGAGTGATGTTTACAGTGTTTAAAGTGTATTTTCCTTCTCTGTCAAAGAGGTACTATTCTTGGGTTTGTTGAGCAATGTAGAAATATCTTAAACCCAGACTGTTTATAGAAGTTATGCTGAAAAGTCATCTAAAAAAGTTTCTAGGTTGCATGAAAATACTCAATACGGTAAGAATCCAAACCCTTCAGTAATCTTAAAGTATATTTCTCTGTTTTAGAAAAGGAAGATCCAGTTGGAAAATATCAGCGTTGCATTTATTTTTTTCTGTAATACAATTCTTCTATAGTACAACCTTCTATAATAATTTTATATATCCCCACTCATGTCCTGCTTTTCCTCTAGAGCATATCCTGATTAGGCTAACATGAAGTGAAACATATAAAACATGAAACAAATAAAAATAATTGAACTAAGTACAGAACAAGATCATTATTTTGCTATTCAAATAGGTATTTTAGGTTTTAGAGCCTCTCATGGTTCTGTGATACGGTATCTTCTGTTTTATAGGAATTTGGAAGGAAATGTAGCTTTAAGAAGCTCTGCTGCTGTCTTTACATACTGTAAATCAAGAGGACTCTTTGCTGGCATATCTTTAGAAGGCAGCTGTTTGATTGAAAGGAAAGAAACTAATCGAAAGTAAGTTCAAACCAAAATAATTTTAGTTAATTTAAAGAAAGTGTGATGGGAAAGTTGTACCTTACAGAGTTATCTAGTTTTAAGAGTTTACAGAGTACATTTGTATGTATTATTTCAATACAATAGTATGCAACTCTGTATATTTATTTAAAGATTCTATTGGGTACACTTTCAATATGAAAGTGATATGTACTTATTACAGAAAAATTAGAAAACTTGAAGAAAAGTAAGAGAAAATACATTCTATACCTTTAAGATTGTCACTGTTTACATTTTGGGTTATTACTTTCCAAACATTTTTCTAAGCATAGTTTGTCATTGTTTTGCCATATATGATTGTAATATATATTCAATTGTAAATCCTATTATTTTCACTTAGCATTATTATATAAGAAATACGTTATTGTTAGGTGCTGTCGAGTTGGTTCCAACTCATAGTGACCCTATAGAGCAGAGTAGAACTGCCCCATAGGGTTTCCAAGGAGTGGCCGAGCTCTTAACCACTGTGCCACCAGGGCTCCATAAGAAACTAAGTATACGTTAATGAATATAATATTCCGTTAGTTGGATGCATTGTAGTAAGTATATTTTTCAAACTTTTGTGGAGGGCAACTAGTTATAACTTGTGGATCAATCAAAATGTTCCTCACTGTGAAAGGTTTCCTGTTACTGCACTCTGTCAAATAGAGACCAATCTTGATTAAAAAATAAGATTTCAAATAACCAGAGAGGCAAAGAGGAGCTTCCACTTTAAATTGACATCTGGCTATTTTTTGCCAAAGCAGCTCTTCCAAATTGCCATTAAAATATCCATGAAGATCCTGAAAAAGATAAAATACAATACTGACTGAACTGCTTCCAGAGCCTGGAAGATATTCCACTAATTTCCGGACTGGTAGAACTGACACAGCTAAGAGCTGACACGTGCTTCAGCGTTCATAGCAGAGCGGGCCACCTCTATGAGAACTCACAGCCTTACCATGCCAGGGCACTCAAGAATTGAATAGCACATCCGAGAATACTAAATGTTTGGAAGAATAGGGAAAATAAAAGTTTGCTGAATTCTTCATTTCATAAAATCGAGAGATGTATTTCTACTTCTGCTTTTATTAATTTGAAAAATGTAAGTTAGAGAATAGATATGAAATGGTATAATTTTTGTATAAACTTAAAAAACAAAAAATCTATAAAAATGTATATTTATACGTATATGTGGATGTGCCTTTTATATTAATAGAGAAAGGGCATATATCAGACTGTTTATGGTGGTTGCCTCTAGTGGTGAGCTTGAAAGGGTGGATATAGGGTCATACATGGGCTATGAGCTATAGTTAGCATTTGAAGAGTGGTATAGATTATATATTTGTATGTACATATCTATCTTATATTCAATGCTAGAAAAGATCTTATGTCCTCAATTTGATATTTCTTAATAGATTTTATTGTCAAGATATTCGAGCTTATGACATTTTATTTGGAGATTTGCCACGACCTGCTCAAGCAGAAGATCTGTACGAAATTCTTGATTCCTTTACAGAAAAGTATGAAAATGAAGGACAGCAAATTAATGCAAGAAAAGCAGCAAAGGAACAGAGGAAGGCTTCTGTAATGTTTGCTTTTTATACTTATCTCAATTGTCACAGGAAGTTTCTTTATGCAGAATGTTCTGTCACTTGATACTGAGCTCCTGATAACCTACTAAACTTCCTTTGATATCGTTTATGTAGTTTTCCTGTGAAAATGTCATACAACCTCGACATTGCATCTGTAAAAATTTCAAGGAGAAATATAATTTGTTTTCCAGGACTGCGTTTCTCAAAGGATAGTATTTTGTAGTATTATATAATAGTATCAATAATAGCCACTAATACTGAGCACCCACCGTGTATCAGACTCTAAGTACCAAGAGTTTTGGGCACATTACTCGTCTAGTTCCTTCAAGTTGGCTTGATCACTGTTGTACAGAATGAAAACTGAAGTATAAAGAATTCAAATTTTTCCTTGTCTCTCCCAGTTAATTGCTAAACCAATCACCATATCACTGTACCTGATACTCCCCAAATCTAGCATAGATTGTCAGAAGTGTCTGGGAGCGGTCAGCTTCCAGTTATAAGAAGAGCGTAGCCCTTGCCCATGTCTGCATTTTGTCCTCCTCTAACTCAGTTAAATATGGGCCCAAAGAAAAAACCTTATATGCTCCTAAGTAAAGACGGGGTTTTAAAATTACATAAGTTTATTTTTTTGTTCCTCCCAGGCTAAAGAATTACCTCCAAAACCATTGTCAAGGCTACAGCCATCATCTGTACCAGTCCAGCTGAACTCTGGCTCTCAAAGCAAGTATTTTTATTGTAATTCAAATGCAATTATAATTAAATAACTATTAAATATTATTGTTGAGAAATCAAGCTACTCTGTTAAAGTTGTAGAGTCAAATAGAATAGCAAATGAATACTTAAGAGAGAAAAATAAATGCTTGGCTTCTTCTAAATGCATAAGAAAAATTCTCATTGCCTTATTTATCAAATGTATGTTCTCATTCGTAAGATACTTACTTCAATTTACAAAAAAGATTCATCTTTTAGGTTTTTGTTTTTGTTTTTTTTTTCTTCTTTGTCATTGCTTCCAAAGAATGCTGTCCTGCTGACTTGAAATGAGAACAAAATAAGCATATTTTTCTTAAATCATCATAGATTTACATTTCTGCATACTGGTTTTACAGTTCATTTCTGGAAGCTCAGCATTTCATAAAGAGATTTTTAAAGTAGACTTAATTTATAAAGCTGGTCAGTGAGTAAGGAAGACCAAAGAAGAACTGATGGCTTTGAATTATGGTGTTGGTGAAGAATATTGAATATACCATGGACTGCCAGGAAAACGAACGCATCTGCTTTGGAAGAAGTACAGCCAGAATGCTGCTTAGAAGCGAGGATGGCAAGACTTCATCTCAAGTACTTTGGACATGTTATCAGGAGGGACCAGTTCCTGGAGAAGGACGTCATGCTTGTTAAAGTAGAGGGTCGCAAAAAAGAGGAAGACCTTCAATGATATGGATTGACACAGTGGCAGCAACAGTGGGCTCAAGCATAACAATGATCGTGAGGATGGGGCAGGACTGGGCAATGTTTCGTTCTGTTGTACATGGGGTCACTATGAGTCAGAACCGACTCAACGGCACCTAACAAAATTTATAAAGAGTCAGTTTTGGCCTTTACCCCTCTTCCTGTCACTCCTTTTCATGAGAGTCACTCTTAGAATTCTGCTTTTCATGTATAGAGATTGTACCAGTAAATGGAAATACGTTAAAGTAGGTGAAGTTTCATATAATAGTCAACTGTTGTACAAGAGGCTAAGGTGCGCCTGACCCAATCCATGGTGTTTTCAGTCGCCTCGTGTGCATGTGAAAGCAGGACAGTGGATAAGGAAGAACGAAGAAGAATTGACGCCTTTGAATTATGGTGTTGGCGAAGAATATTGAATATACCACGGACTGCCAGAAGAACAAACAAATCTGTCTTGGAAGAAGTACAGCCAGAATGCTCCTTAGAAGGGAGGATGGAGAGACTTCATTTCAAGTACTTTGGACGTGTTATCAGAAGGGATCAGTCCCTGGAAAAGGGACTTGGTAAAGTAGGGTAAAGTAGAGGGTCAGCGAAAAAGAGGAAGCCCCTCAATGAGATGGATTGACACAGTGGCTGCACCAATGGGCTCAAGCGTAGCAGGGATTGTGAGGGTGGTGCAGGACCCGGCAGTGTTTCGTTCTGTCGTATGTAGGGTCGCTATGAGTCGGAACTGGCTTGATGGTACCTAACAACAACAACATACGAGAGATACTGTGCTATAGCTTTTGGGAGGACAAAGATGAATCTTAGATCCTGCCTTTAAAGAGCTTTCAGTCTAATATGAGAGAAATTACGTGTGGTAACATTAAATACAATAACGGAAGGAAGTGTGTGATAAGTTCTGAGAGAAGTAGTAAAAATATTACAGTGCTTCCAAGGGCAGGAAGATTATTTCACTTTTCATGGAAGTTTGCTGTTACCCTCCTCCTCCATCTTTTTGTATCCATTTTTTCCGAAGTTTCCTGCCCAGGTCTCTCATACTGAGTCCTGGCTGTACCTTTAGCTTGCCTAAATTGATCTCCCAGGGAGATCTCCAGGAACTGGACAAATTTTCTTTATTATCCTTCCCCTCTGTCTTCTATTCCCTTGGGATGCTGCATTCTTCTTCCGATAGTGATAGTCTATTTCTGATTCATGAGAAGGTGATTAATTTGCTAATACTCATATTTCCAGTGAGTAATGTTAAGTGAACACTGAGTCTATTTTTATTTTAGATCTGCGTGATTATACAAAATATGACCCATGCACATGTTTTAGAATATGTAATGTTTCTAAAGTTTCCTCACTAAGAGAATGAGCTATCTGTATCATGCATACGGAAACCCTGGTGATGCAGTGGTTAAGAGCTGTGGCTGCTAACTGAAAGGTCGGCAGTTCAAATCCACCAGCTACTCCTTGGAAACCCTATGGGGCAGTTCTGCTCTGTCCTGTAGTGTCCCTATGAGTTGGAATTGACTCAATGGCAACGGGTTTGTTGTTTGTTTGTTCATTTCTAATGGCTGCTTTATCCATGGTGTGGATTACCATATTTTGTTCAGCCACTCTCCTACTGATGAGTATTAACTGTATTTCAGGTTTTTGCCATGACTAACAGTGCCGCTCATAGAAACCCCATAGGGTTTGTGAGTCTGTAAATCTCTGTGGAAGCAGACTGCCACATCTTTCTCCTGAGGAGCCACTGGTGGTTTCGAACCGCTGACCATTCAGTTAGCAGTCGATCACTTTAACCACCGTGCCACCAGGGCTCCTTGTAACAGTGCCACAATTAACATACTCCTAAATTAATGTCTCTATATACTGGAGCTTTTATTTTTTTGAGATAGATTATCAGAAGTGAACATGATAGGTCAAAGGATATATTTTTAAAACTTCACTAGATAACGATAGATTGCTTTTTAAAAAGTTTTTGCTACTGCAGAGTGTCACCAGCCATATACGTGGGTAGCTTTTTCACATTCTCCACCATGATTGATGTTGGGACATTTTAAAATATTTGTCAATCTGCAGGCTGGTTCTATCTGTTGTTAATTGGCTTGTGTTTTTCCTTTGTTTATCAGTTGATTTGAACATCTCTTCCTATATTTTCCGGTGTTTGGGACTTGACCTTCTCTAAAAAACCTCTTCATTTCATTAGTCCGTGTTTTCCATTGATATATTTGTTGCCTTCTCAGCTTATGGGGGTGCTTTGTGTATTAAGGGCTTTGCCTGTCATTTGGGTTACAGCTTCTTTCTACGTGTATCACTTGCCTATTGATCTCTTTTGCCGTATACTTTACTATATAAAAGATGAAATTTTATGTCAAATCCTATCTAGCATCTACTTTTTAATAGTTTTTGATTTTTTAGTCATGGTTAAAAAGGTCTTCCTCCAGATTTTATGCACCGTCCCCTCGATTTTTCTTGCAATATTTGTATTTTTACAACCAAGTCTTTAGTTTATCTGGTATATTGGCAATTACTGGACATTCGTTCTTCATATACTTTAAGATCATTTTATCCATTCTCTCCTCCTCCTCCAATATGTGATCTAGTTAAGATAATATCATGTGCTTATATTAATTTTATAATTTTGGGTTCCTAGTTGCAACAATATCACATGTATTAATTAATTAGTATAATAATCTTCTTCATATACTTTAAGATCATTTTATCTATTCTCTCCTCCTCCCCTGATACGTGATTCTAGTTAAGATAATATCACGTGCTTATATTAACTTTGTAATTTTGTTACTAATTGCAATAATATTGTAAGTAGTAATTAATTAGTTTAATAATCTTCCAATTTTATGCTTTTCATTTGTTGAGATATTTTATGTCCTTTAACAAGACTTCATAGTTTTTGTGCCTTGATTGTTAAATTTATTTCTAAGTACTTTGTATTTTTGGTTTGCCCTGGTAAATGGAATGTACTTTTCCATTTCTGTTTGAGAGTGCTTATTATAGTGGAGAAAAATCTATTAATTTACACATATTTTGTTTTTCTTATATCCGGTCACATATCCAAAATCTCTTCCAGTCAGTTTGGTTTTTTAAAATAGATTCTCTTCAGATATTTTTATTCCTCCTCCTCACCACTAGCAATGTTTATTGCAATATTCTTCTCTTCATAAGCTTCGTAGGTCTGTGGTCTTCAGACTGGTGTGCACCTATCTCTAAGGGTATGCAAAGACCACCAAAGGGCATTTGGGCACAGATAATTTAAGAGATACAATTTCCGAATCTTCAGCTCCAGGATACGTTCTTCATTAAAGCAGATCCAGTCGAGAACATGACATGCAGGCCACCCTCTCCATCTTTTCTCTTTGCACAATTGTCCTTTTCCTACTTTCCAAAGAAAAGTAAACCCCTAAACCGTCTTGGGAGTCCCTGGATGGTACAAACGGTTAATGCACTTGGCTGTTAACAAAAATGTTGACAGTTCGAGTCCACCCAGAGGTGCCTCGGAAGAAAGACTTGGTGATCTACTTCCAAAAAATCAGCTATTGAAAACCCTGTGGAGCACAGTTCTCCTCTGACACACACGGGTCACTATGAGTCAAAATTGACTTGACAGCAACTGCTTTTGTTTTTGGCAAACCATTCTGAATCTTACTGCTTCATTGCCCCCAAAGTATAAGAATGGTGATGCATTTTGAAATACAGATTTTTTGATGATGGCATAGAGTTAATGAATGGTCTGAGTAGCAGATCCTTTTGTAAGTGGGGTGATTTCCCTTTCTTTGCTTTCAGTGAAACTGAAGAAGGACCTAATGGAATTGTCATTGGTGTTTATAATAATAATAATACGATAGTAATTATATGTTAATTATTTTAAAATCACAGTTATTTATTGCCAAAACAAAACATTTTCATAGTAATATTTTATTATTTTATTTTGTAAATTATGCTGTATTATTGTTGTTTTGGTGACAGAGAACTAGGGTTTTGTTGTTGGCCTCTGTCTCAGAAAGAGAAGCCCTGGTGGCGCAGTGGTTCAGAGCTCAGGCTGCAAAAGGTCAGCAGTTCGAATCCCCCAGCTGCTCCTTAGAAATCCTGTGGGGCACTTCTACTGTATCCTGTAGGGTCACTGTGAATTGGAATCAACTCAATGGCAGTTTTTTTGGGGGGTATCTCAGAAAGAATATAAAAGAATTAAATGATACTGCTGTAACAAAACTCTTTCTAGTACTCTCTAGTTTGTATAAAAATTAGCTTTATTAGCACCTGTATCTACCAAAAAAACTAAGATACAATTTTATCTTGATTATATGTCATTCTAGCAATAAGCAATAGTCATCCTGTATATATGAACAGTACAAACTGGTAAGCACTAGACTACTAACCAAGAGGTTGGCGGTTTGAACCTACCCAGAGGTGCCTTGGAAGACAAGCTGGCGATCTGCTTCTGAAAGCTCACATCTTTGAAAACCCTGTGGAGTAGTTCCACTCGGCACACAGGGGGTGTCACACATGCCTGGGAGCAGCCAACAACAACGGCATACATCAACTAGTTGTAAAACATCCCACACATCTCTTAAGAGATGTATTTCAAATAAAATTTTACTTTTTATGTTCAGTAAGTTATCGAATTCATAATGTAATTAAGATTTTGATTTATTCTGTCCAATAATGTTTATAATAGTAACTCAATTGTGAAGAAATTTTTAATAGAGATTTATACTTACTAAACATGCAAAAAAAAAATTTATGTACAAATTTTTTGTTGCAGAAACTGTTACCTGCAAAAATATAGTATTAATACATTAGTCTAATATCTTTGGGGCAAGTGGAATGCAAATATGATTTGAAAATTAAAAATGAACACTATATAATTTTTGACTATTAAAAAACAGCTTGTTGATTTCCTTTAATGGATGATGGATTTCAGATCAGTGGAATATGTAGATTCTTTTAGATATATTTAAAACAGAGATACGTTGTTTAAGTAATTGATATTTGAAATAGGCTAAAAAGTAACACCCCTTCCTACCATTTAAACTTGTATTGAACAATTTTGTATAAACTTATATTGAAAAATTTTGTATAAACTTGTATTGAACAATATTCTATAAACTTATATTGAACAATTTTGTATAAACTTGTATTGAACAATTTTGTTAAAAACCAAAAACCTGTTGCCATGAGTCAGTTCTGACTCATGGCAACCTCATGAGTTTCAGACTAGAACTGTGCTCCGTAACTTTTCAATGACTGTAACATTTTCCGGGTCTTTCCACCTCTGGGTGGATTCGAACTGCCAACTTCTTGGTTCATAGCTGAGTGATCAGCTGTTTGCACCACTCAGGAATGCTCTTACAATTGAATACCTGCTGTTTAAAAATTATATTAATTTCAAGCAAAAATGTTTGGAAAATCACTGACTTGGGAGTTACAAGTTTGTTTTCTTTTCAAATCAGATCCTTTTACAGTTGTTTTTTGTAAAGAGATGTTTCTGTGTTTTCCACACATGTACTAAACAGGCCATGAGTTACAGTTTGTGTACTTGTATGTCATTCCTTTATATTTATCATGTCTTATATCAGTGTATTCTCTGGGTTTATTCAGGCATACCTCTTGATTTAAAGCATCATCAAATAATTCTATTTCTGTCATTTAATTTAAAATATTTATTTAACAAGTGCATGACTTGGTGTTTTTATATCTATTATATACTACAAATTAATGAGTTTTATATATCCCCTCCCAATTTTTTTGCAGGTAGCAGAAATGAATATAAGCTCTATCCTGCACTTTCCAGCTATCATGAGGATGTTGGTAAATAAAAATGTCTCTGTCTTAAAAATAATTTGTATCTATCTTAAAATCGCAAACTTTCAAATTAATCTGATAATCGAAGAAGCCAAACTCATTGCTGTCGAGTCAATTCCGACTCATAATGACCCTACGTATAGGATGCAATAGAGCTGCCCCATAGGGTTTCCAAGGAGCCGCTGATGGATTTGTACTGCTGAGCTTCTTTCTGGTTAGCTGCCAAGCTCTTAACCACTTTATAAAAATCTCTGGGAAAAAAATGTTCAGTCCCTCTTTGATTTATAGGACTTCCAAATTATTTTGAACAATACTTCCTTAAAAAAATGCTATGCTTTTGTTCTCTTGCTCACTTTTAATTTGAGATAAATGAGAGCGATTACAGAACTTTAAGGAGTACAGTTATATGCAAGAGGAACACTTGAGCCAGACAGATCTCAAGAGCTAAATGCTGTTCACTCCTGGGAGCCAGGATGTAAGTTGCTGGTTGATGTTCACGTGATCTTTTAAAGACTAGTTGCTTAGAAGCTTCTGAATATCTAAAGGGAATAGAATGCCAAAGTTTGTTAATTTTAAATTACAATTTAATTCCTACTGTATTTTTTTCTGGGTTTTAGCCCCATGAATTTTATATTTTTAAGGAATTATTTTTCTTTTACTTTTCAATTCAAATGCTTTACCGTTACTGGGAACTGCATCATAAAACTTACTAGGATTTCCTATAATAAAAATACTCCTTTCAACCCATCTTATTCCAGCGTTCTTTAGAAAACGTTCTTTGAAAGGATCAAGAAATTGTTTGCAAATGTGAATGGGCCACACACTGAGGAGAAGTTAAACAGTAGTGTAATACTGTAGGCATTTCTTCACGTGGAGTAGTTACGCCTCTGGAAGCAGAAAGCTTTACACTACTGGCTTAATAAATGTATTGGGGAATTAATCAACATTCCATGTAAATAAAACATCAAGGTAATTAGGCAGCCAAATACTTTTTAAGAATTTCTATCAGGAAGATAAAAATATTTTGAAACTTAAACAGAGTCCACTGAATAGAAGTCAGCCTTTTCTTGATGGATTTAGGTTTTATCTGTCTTCTTGCTTCAGGCTCTGGCTTTGTTGTAACCGAGCCTGCTTCTGGCAGCCTTTTCCTTCATAGTTCTCTCTCTCCCCTGAGCGGACCTGAGAAGTACAAAGGATAGAGTGTGTGTGCAGAGTTAATGTGATGCCTAAGGCCTCCACTATGGAACAAGGCTTCTGCTTATGGTCTTAAGCGCACTGGAATTCATTTGAAAGTTCTAAAAGGGTTATTTATTTATTCACTCTTGTGGCTCAAGGCCATGTTAAAGATTATTGAGATTGTCAAAAGTTTGACCTTTGAGTTCATGTCTTGTAAAAGTAGAAGTGGCTAAGATATAGATGTTTATGTTAAAGTAGCATAAACACCTAGACTTTTACATTACTCAGGTTTTTATTTTTAAAGATTGTTAGGATTAGATTGTAGCCTTACGTATCTAGCAAATTAAGGAGTTCCTGGGCTGCTAACTGAACGTTTGGAGGTTCAAGTCCACTGGAGGCACGTTCGAAGAGAGGCCTGGTGACGTACTTCCAAAAAATCAGCCATTGAAAGCCCTATGGAGCACAGTTCTACTCTGACACACATGCAGTCTCCTTGAGTTGAAGTTGACTTGAGGGCAGCTGGCACTGGTACAGAGAGGGTCTTAAACTTGACAGGGTCGATAGATGTTCTGAAGTTGTTCAGGATGGGTGCGGAGGGGAGGAAGTTAGCTACAACAGAACAAAGGCTATGCATTCCTAAAAGAATGGCTTTGTAATATTAAATTGGGATACCCAAAAAAAACCAAACCCTTTGCCCCTCATGTTGATTCCGACTCATAGCAACCCTGTTGGACAGAGTAGAACTGCCCCATAGGGTTTCCAAGGAGTGGCTGGTGGATTCAAACTGCCGGCCTTTTGGTTAGCAGCCTGAGCTCTTAACCACTGCGCCACCCTTTTCACACGTTATGATTTTCTAAATTTGTACCTATCGCCTAGGTGCCTAATATATATTAGAAATATCTCATAAAGAGCACCAAGGGAAAATGCTTAATAGTAAATAGCAAAAGACCAAGTGCATTCTGGAGTCAAAGACTTAGATTTAAATCCCAATACTTTCATTTAAGAGCCGTTCATCTGAAGATAATGTCATCACCCATGGTTGGTTGGTTGGTTTTTATATTGTTGTTGTTATTAGCTGCCATGGAGTCACCCCAACTCATGGTGACCCCGTGCACAACAGAACAAATCTCTGCTCAGTCCTGTGCCATTGCCAAGATTGGTTGTGGATTGGACTTTTGGGATCCACAGAGGGTTCATATTCACAAGTGGATCACCAGGCCTGTGTTACCTGGAAGCTCTGCTGAAACCTGTTCAGCATCGCAGCATCCCACCAGCCCCCACTGAGACACACGATGTGCATTGAGGCTAAAGTAAGTTAAAACGGCAACATACTTAGGAGATGCCAGGTTAATATTAATATTAATTTCTTGTATCCCTTCCTCCATAGATGAGATTTTGGAGAAAAAAATGAAAGAGAAGATTTAAGATCTATTTTTAAACTAAAACTTACTTTACATCACTGTATTTTTTAAAAAGCCCTTATGGAATCACTTAAACTACTCAAAGACTTCTCTATATCCTGATAGACTATCCTTGCCAGAGAAAAGTCCCAGTGTACATGGGATTGACCCATACTTAATTTGAAAACTCATTTAAGCCAACCACTCTGTCCTCCCGCTGCGCTAGCTCTCAAACTTGTTACACACCCACAGAGACAATCCACAGCTTTACACCGGGGACGTCAGCCATAATGATAGTCCTCCAAACTGCACGTAGCATTCTCCCACTGATCTTTCATTTTGTGCCATTTGGAAGGTCCAGCAAAAGGCTTCTCAGGCCTGTCAGTGAGACGAGCCTTACACAGTCCGATCTACCGGACCTGCCTCTGCGGGTTCTTGAAGGAACATTTTTCCATACCTGGAAGTCCATGCCCTCAATATGCCAACATTCATTGCCCACCTATCATCCATACTATAATTTTCTGTCACAGGATTTTTCAACCTGGGCACTATTGACATTGGGCTGCATAATTCTTTACTGTGGGGACCTGACCTATGCATTGTAGTATATTTAGTAGTACCCTCCTCCTAATTAAGGAGCCCAGGTGGCGCAATGGTTAAGCCCTTGGCTGCTAACCAAAAGGTCAGCGGTTCGAACCCACCAACAGCTCTGTGGGAGACAGATGTGGCAGTCTACTTCTGTAAAGATTTACAGCCTTGGAAACTTTCAATGGGGCAGTTCTACCCTGTCCTGTAGCGTTGCTTTGAGTCGGAGTTGACTCAATGGCAGTGGGTTTTTTTTTTCCCCAGTTGTGACAACCAAATGTCTCCAGACATTGCCCTGGTGGACAGAACTGCCCCTGGTTGAGAACCAGTGGTCTACCTCAGCAGGCAGGGTCTGGCTAGCTCACCATCCATCCTCACACGGGAACATGGTCCCCAAAGCCTGTGGACCTCCCCTCTCTGAGGAATTGGCAGCACATGACGTGGGCAACTTGAGCGGCCAGAGTCAGCGTAACCACCCGTCACTACAGTTTGACAACAACAAAGGGCTCAACTAAACCAAAGGCTGCATTCTTTTAGTTAAGGTTGCTTTCTTGAAGCGGACCTTCCGAAGGCTGAGATTCGTCTCCTGAAATATGTCTGGGGCCAGCTGTGTTGGCTGCACATGGGTTACATTATGCAGGCTCCAGTGAGAGAGTGAATTAGCCGCCCCAAGTAAGTGGAAGTACAACAGGGATGCTCCCCATGGACCTCGCTTCCCTGATTTGTGAGCCTCGGGCAGCTGCCAATCACTGAAGGCTGATTGTAATCTAACTCTGTTTCATGTTGACTTTAGCCCTGATTTGGCTAAATAACCTCTTTTTTAATTAAACTGGAATATTAGAATGCAAATGTCCAATGGTTTCGAAGATCCTTCAGATTTATTTTAAGCACAGGCAGATAAAATTTAAAGGAATGTATGGCTCAGAAGGAGCCCTGGTGGCGTAGTGGTTAAGAGCTTGGTTGCTAACCAAAGGTCGGCAGTTAGAATCCACCAGCTGCTCCATGGAAACTCAATGGGTCGAAATCTACTCAAGGGTAACGGATTTGTTTTTTTTAATCACTAAGAAGGGAAGAGCTCTGTGATTAGCCTAACAATGGGGTTTGCTTTCTGATGATCAAGACATTCTTCATGAAAGGATTTGTTTCCTTGGTCAACTTTATTTTTTTAATGAGTTCTTTTTTGGATATTAAACTTCACCTTATGGAAATTTATTTTCAATAAAGAGAAACTTTAAGTCACTTTGAACTTACTAGGTTAGGGGTGTGGGGACACGTGACAATATGGCATGAAGTTCCATGGCTTTGAACTGATATTTCAGAACACAGTCATGCTCCCAAGAGTGCCTGTCTTCATGCAGGTCATTGGTTGTTGTCATGGAGTAGACGCTGGTCATGACGACCCCATGTATGTTAGAGTAGAACTGTGCTCCATTGGATTTCAATGGCTGTGATATTTCGGAAGTAGATTGCCAAGCTTTCTTTCAAGGGGCCTTTGAGAGGACTTGTACCAGCAACCTTTCTGTTAGTAGCCACGCACTTAACTGTTTGCACTATCCAGGTATGAGATGGATAGGTCTGTCTGATTCATTGGGTCAAAATTCAGAAATATGTAGTAACCACACACCTTACTTGCATTCTTCTGTAGCTCTACCAGTAAGCATACCCCATCAGTCTTACTTCTGCTCAAAACCTGAGTGGGGGAAAAGAATGCTAGATATTGACCTCCTCAAACCCGACAATAACCTAGTTGCTGTCTGTTGCAACTCAAAATGATCTATTTTGCCTTTATACCCAAAAGTTTCCCATCACTACTTTATCCATTATTTCATTTGAAATCTGCAATTCAGAAGAAATTAGACAACCACCTGTCTTGGTGAGCATTAGTTTGTCAGATGGCAGGGATTGAATCAGGTCTGCATGTGGTCTTCTCTGTCTTTCTCTTCTTTAGTTCATAATATCTTTCTTCCTCTAATTATTCTTCATAAGATATATTCCTAAAACCAGTGAAGATTAATTCAGTTATCAGTGAGTACCCAGGATCATCAACATCAGATAGTATTATTACTTGTATAGTCTGGATAACTCAGTGATCCAGGATAATATATTAATTCTCCTTGAAAATTTGCCTAACAAAAATAAAATACTCTGATAAATATAAGTTCAATCTGTTGAGCACAATTTAATATGTGTGTGGTTACTGAGAATGTTTGAGTAGAATGTAAATAGTGATTAGAAGTGCCTGGAGACAAACTCCCTAGATTCAAATCTCACCCCTACCATTTACTAGCTCTCTGACCTTGGGCAAATAACTTAACATCCCTAAGTCTCAGTTTCATATTCTTTAAAATGGGGATACTAATAGAAACTCCAGAGAGCTAGTGTTACTATCCCCATTTTAAAGAATATGAATAAGTGAAATAAGTGGAGCATATATAAAGTGCTGTTTTCAGTAAAGAGTAGCTGCTCTTATTATATACACATTGATTGCTATATATTATTAGGATAATCATCGTTCTTACTCATTTGTGATTGTATAAATAGTGCTACAAGTGTATAAGTCTCTGGCAGCTGAAATGAATATGACTTCCGGAACATTCCCCCATATTCACATGTATCCTTCATTTGCTTCTTTCTGATGGGACGAGGGAGAAGGAAGAATGGAGTTAGTTGAGGATTTTCATTGATCGGGCTTGGTTATTCAAGACTGAACTTTTATATAGAATGTCATGAATAGAATTATTGATGAGAATAATCTTCAGAAATGATTTTTTTTCTGTAACATTAACTTAGATTCTTCTGAACTAATGACAGTGACAAGCAGTATGAGTACTGTGTTGTATGTGGTCCGTATCAATTTAGTGTCACAGTTAATTTTCATAGTATTCAGTGATGACTCTTTCTTTATGTAATTAGCAGTTGTTTAACTTGCATTGATTATTTCCAGACTGTGTCGCAGTTTTTCTTTTGTGACATTCTTTTAACCTTGTTCCTTACAATTATTAGGCTAAAATTAAATATAAAATATGGATAATTCTCCGTATTAAAGAAAAAACTAATTACACTAGTAGTATTTCTAATGTAATTATATTAGTTATTATCTACTTTAGAAGAAATCAAAGAACTAGATACCACGTGCTTTCTGGAAAGGACTGTAGCACCATCTTGTGTGAGCTACAAATTCAGTGACTCTGTCAATGTAGTTTAATTGTAATTAAAGTGTTTACTATTTTTATTTCCTACTGAAAGTCCAAATTCAGGGGTTTTTTTTTCTTTTGTATAGTATCAGGAGTTCAAATAAATAACTGATTTTAGAATTCCGTTACTTATGTTTTCTGCATCTCTGCACTTAGATGCATGTAACAAGAATCTAACTGCCTAATTTATGTGCAAAATTACATGAAACATAGAAGCATTCAAGTGTGTAGATATGTGCACAGAAAATGACCGTTTGCTTTATGTTTCTTACGATGTTTCACAGCCGATGTCTTTCCTGTCTTTTACTCACGTTAGCCGTTTGATTCTCAAAGTATTTTTCCCAACACAGTGCATTTAATTCCAGATATTGTGTTAAATCCTTTTTAAGCATCTGTAAATATGCTTCCAGTTGTCCTCATCTAAATTGCATATCAGATATTGAGAGAAAGGATCAAATGAGTACAGATGTGAAAACAGCTGTGACATCAGGGGAGAGAAAAATATGAATATTCGCTAATGTAACAGTAAAATACATCCAAACTGGAAGCGTCTGAGCTGGAATCCTTAAAATCCATTAGTATAGAGTAAGATTTCCAGATTTCATCTCCTATAACACAATCATGGGCATAAATACCAGCTTTTCTCCAGTGGCTGTAATTCGCGGAAGCCATTACAGCTACTCTATTAAATGAGAAAAATGTAAATAATATTATCTGATAGCTTATTCAAAATTCGAATAATTTTAACCACAAACATTTGCTAAATACATAGTTAAGTGTATAATACTGTGCAGTTCTAACCTACGTAAACCCAAAACCAAACCCACTGCTGTCAAGTCAATTCCGACTCATTGACTCTATAGAACAGAGTAGAACTGCCCCATAGGGTTTCCAAGGAGTGGCTGGTGGATTCGAGCAGCTGAGCTCTTAACTACTGCGGCATCAGGGCTCATGGAGATGTGGGAAATGTTATTGCCCAACAATTGTGCTTTCGAAAGGAGAAAAATATAAGTTCAATAATGTGATGTATAATCAAAAGAAGACTTAACAAAACGAATGCTGTGAATTCTGCCAGCGTCTTAGTCGTTGGCTCTATCGTTTGTCTTAGCTACCAGGCTCTAAGCGCTGAGTTTGCATTTTACATATATGCACCCCAGTATTTCCTCTAAAAAATGTGAATAAATACTTTTTTTCTCATTTTAGGCAATTCCCAGCAACCTACAGAGGTGACAGCCCTATATTCTTTTGAAGGACAGCAGCCGGGAGATTTGAAATTTCAAGCTGGAGATAGGATCACAGTTATATCAAAAACCGATTCACATTTTGATTGGTGGGAAGGAAAACTTCGAGGTCAAACTGGCATTTTTCCAGCCAACTATGTAACCATGAATTAAAGTTTTATTTTGCTCTTCTTTGAGAATTAAATATATATATATATATATATAAAAAACCGTTGCTGTCAAGTTGATTCCAACTCGTAGTGACCCTATAGGACAGAGGAGAATTGCCCCATAGGGTTTCCAAGAAGCGGCTGGTAGATTTGAACTGCCAACCTTTTGGTTAGCAGCCGTAGCTCTTAACTACTACACCACCAGGGTTTCCATATATATATTTCTGCACTAAGAGAACTGCTAGCCAGTTAAGCAATGTTTAATGTCAGTTTGAAAACACCATACCAAAAACCAAATTCATTGCTGTCAAGTCGACTCTGACTCAGCCACACTATAGGACAGAATAGAACTGCCCCATAGGGTTTCCAAGGCTCTAAATCTTTGCAGAAGCCAACTGCCACATCTTTCTCTTGCAGAGCAGCTAGAGGTTCGAACTGCTGACCTTTTGGTTAGCAGCTGAATGCTTAACCAAATACTTCTGTTTATTCTATAAACTTTTAATCCAGTATGTAAAAGATTTTTTTTCTGTATAATTAAGTGGTTAACTTAATCTCGTTAAATACTTTGTACTAATTTTATCATATATACAATGTAATAGTTGATACCATCTAGTTTATATGGTAACAGTTCTTTGTGTTCATTTTCAAACATCACTACACTTTTGATCTGGCTAGAATATGGCATTTATTTTGATTTGTGAGTCTTAGGAATAGGGCCATGAACATCAATTAATACATTTCAGTTTACAAAATGACTAGAGAAGACAAAATCAGCTATTAGGTATTAAAGAACAATTAGAATTGTAGTTATTAACTAGAATATGAAACCTTAAAAACTATCTTTATGCCTTCAAATATTGTACATATACATTTACATTTATAGTAGAAATATACCATTACAAAGAAGTTCAAACACCATGCATTAAAAAAAAAAAAAAGATGACATCTATTAACTTTTCTTCTTTATGAGGTTGTGTTTTTCCGTACTCATTTTCTAGCAGTAGAATCGACTTGTTGTGACATGGTTCAGTTGTCCATAAATAAATGTTTTTAAAATGCTTGCTAAGTTAATGTCTTGGTTTTGTTTTTCTTATTTTCCTTTTGTAAAGTAGGCAGATAATCCTGTGACTCATCTGCAGGATGAAAAACTAGCCCCATTATTCTGCTGCCTTAACCTCTTCCCTAAACTCCGGGCTCATATGTCCAACTACTCACTTGATGTGTCTATTGGACATAGCATCTCAAACACAACTTGTCCCCTTGCTTTCTCCTCCTATAAAACTTTCCCCTCCTCTAGTACTCCCCCTGAGTAAATGGAAATTCCATTCAACCATTTTCTTAGATCACAAAATCTGGCATCATCTTAATTTTTCTTAATCTCTCTCACACCCTATGTCAAACCCACCAAAAATTCTGTTGGCTTTGCTTTCAAAGTATTTATGAAGCCCAACTACTTTTTACTATCTCTACCACTCCCACCATAAAAGAAGCCACTTTTAGCTCCTACCTAGGTTATTGGCATAGCCTTCAATTTGAATTCCTTGCTTCAACTCTTGCTTTAACACAGCAGCCGAAACGATCCTCTTAAAAGTGGTACCTCCTCCTTCTCCATCTTTTTATCCTGCTTAAATGTTCTTCATAGTCTTCCACTACACACACACACGTTATTTTTCTAAATTTATTATACAGTATTTAAGACGAGAAAAGTAGAAAAAGACCCACATTATCACCAGTCAGCTAGAAATAAAATATAGTTACCTCCTGCTTTTCAGACCCTCCCCAGTTACCCCCCTTCCTTCTAACTCAAATGTAATCATCACCCTGAATTTGCTGTTCATTAATTCAATGTGTTTGTTTATGTTTTTATTATATATGTATGTATCCTTAAGCAGTATATGGTATTGTCTTGCATGCTTTTAAATTTATAAAAATGACACATTGAATTCATTTGTTTCCAAGTTGTTTGTGTCATTCCATTTCAAATTTCTGAAATTCATACATTTTGATACGTAGAACTCAAGTTTATTTAATTTCACTGCTGTACAGTATTCCATTACATGAATATATCAAAATTTATTTATTTTTTGTTTATGGATATTTAAGTGTTTTGCACAAACTACTTCCTATGTTTACTCAGCTTTCACTTTCTTCTGTGAATTGCCTTTTCATCATTTTCCCCATTTTTCTATTGTTTTATCCACTATTTTCTTACTGTTTTTTGAGAAGTTCTTTACATAATCTGGATCCAGTACTTTGTAGGTTATCTGCATTGTGAATATCTTTTTTATGAGTTATAACATAATGTCAGATTATGAATTTTTACTTTATAGTTTCTACTTTTTGTATGTTTTAAAAGAACTTACAAATTTATTTTCTATATTTTGTTCTAAACAATTATATGTTTTAATCCTTATATTAAAAAAAAAAGTTAGGAGGGCGCTTGGCACACCCTGCCAGAGCCACTCTGTGTAAGGAGTGCACTAGGGCAGGAAGAATAAACCAGAAATAGACTGAGTTTCACAAACCCTGAGGCCTCATTCAAATTAGTGCAGTTTCTGACTGAATTAAGGGAATCTGGCATTGCAAGGGAAATCCTGGTGGCGTAGTGGTGAAGGGTTCGGCTGCTAACTGGAAGGTCGGCAGTTCAAATCCACTAGGCACTGCTTGGAAACCCTATAGGGGCAGTTCTACTCTGTCCTATAGGGTCACTATGAGTCGGAACTGGCTCGACAGCAACAGGTTTGGGTTTTTTTTTTGGCATTGCAAGTGTCCCAAGCCTAGCTGCCTGCCATAATCAGAGGTAGAGCCTCTTTTGAGGAAGGTAACATCCTCCATATCTCACATTACCTTTATAATTTTTTCTCTGTAAAAAAAAGAATTGCTATGAATCCCAAGCAGAATAAACACAAAGAAAATCACATGTATGCACATCGTTATAAAACTGCTCAATAACAAAGACAAAAGGAAAAATTGAAGTAGCTGATACTGTTACAACAAACAACCCAATGGACAAATGGACAAAAGATTTGAAAAGGCACTTCACCAATGAAAATACATGAATGCCAAATAAGGAATGAAAATATGCTCAATATCCTTAGCAATTAGGGAAAAAGTAATTGAAACAGTGGATGAGATACCACTACACAAGATCTAGATTGGCTAAAAATAAAACAACTGCCAGTCCCAAGTGTTAGCGAGGATGTGTAGCAGCTGGCACGCTCATACATTGCTTGTGGGTATGCAAAATTGTATGGCCACTTTGGAAAACAATTTGGCCTTTCTCATGAAGTTAATTATACACTTACCATATAGCCCATTGATTTCATTCCTGGGTATTTATCAAAGAGAAATAAAAATAGATGTCCACACAAGATTTTGTATGATGTTCATAGTGGTTTTATTCATAATAGCCCAAGACTGGAAACAATCCAAATGTTCAGCTGTGGAATGGATGAAAAGCTGCGCTGTATCACCCGATGAAATACTACCCACCAATAAAAGGAAATAATTAACTATCGATAATGCAACAATATGAATGTATCTCACTGCTCTTTAAGTCAGACACAAAAGACTACATACAATATGAATCCATTTCTATTAAATTCTACAAAAGGGAAAATCATAGTAATAGAAAGCAGATCAGTATTTGCCAGGGACCAGGGGTTGAGTAGACGGGACTGATCACAAAGTTTGGCAAGGAAACATCTTGGCACGATGTTAAATTTAATGAATTTAAAACGAAGACTTATTGGTTATGCCTATCAATGGAGCCAACAAAGTTTCAGTATTTACCAAGCTAAACTATACTGGATAAAACTAAAAATGGACAGAATTTACTTACAAAGGAGAGATTAATCCACTTCTCTCAGTGCATGGCAGATCAAGGAACCAAAAGTGTAAGTATATTCACTATATAAACATAATCAAATGAATCTGATCAATTTATTTTGAGACTGTACCCTGAAATTAGATTGCCTGTTCTTACCAAGTATCCATGGAACATTCACAAAAATTAACCATAATGGCAGAAACAAAAAAAAACACCTTTTTTATGCTGCAATAAGATATATTACAGACAACATTCCCAGGCCACAATGCAAATATCCATACTGGCTAAAACAACCCAGGTTAAAGAAATAAAATATAAACTCTAATCACAGATTATTTAGAGGATGATGAAAATATTATACACCAAGACCTATTATAAGAAGAAAGCAATGCTAACAGGAAAATTCACTGCCTTAAATACATCCAGCAATAACCACACAAAAGTAAAAGCTGACAAAATAAGCATTGAACTCAAGAAATTAGCATAGGAATAACAAACTAATAAAAACTGAAATTAATAAATTGAAAAAAATAGAGAACAAGAAGTGAATCTTTAACCCAAAAGCTGACTTTATGAGAAAATATATAACAGATACTAGCTAGTTAAAGTAATCTAGGGGAAAATTAAACAGAAAAATAAGCTACTGTTATGAATTGAATTGTGTCCCCCAAAAATGTGTATCAGCTTGGCTAGGCCATGATTCCTAGTATTGTGTGGTTGTCCAAAATTTTGTGATCTGCCGTAATTTTCCTAATCTCTGCTTATGGTTAACAAGGCAAGATTAGGTTATGTCAAAAGGATTAAGGTGGGATGCAATACCCTTACTCAGGTCACAGCCCCGATCAGATGTAAGGCGAGTTTCCCTGGGGTGCGGCCTGCATCACCTTTTACCTCTCATGAGAGAGAAGCAAGCAGAGAAATAGGGACCTCATGCTACCAGGAAAGAAGCACTGGGAGCAGAGTGCCTCCTTTGGACCTGGGGTCCCTCCACAGAGACGCTCCTAGACCCGGGGAAGTTTGACGACAAGGACCTTCCCCTGGAGCTGACAGAGAGAGAAAGCATTGCCCAGGAGCTGGCACCCTGAATTCGGGCTTCTAGCCTTCTCAACTGTGAAAGAATAAATTTCTGCTTGTTAAAGCCGCCCACTTGTATTTCTGTTATAGCAGCACTAGAT